TAACTGAGCTACTAAAGTAACTCATGCTGTAAGTTGCCTGCATTTGCACACACCATTTCTGACCTCCAAGTTCACCTCCTACTCAGCATTCAGTGCACATTGTAGCACCATTCACAAGCGTGCCTCCTCCTTCAAGGTCTCCAGGCAAACATTTCTCTTCAGCTCCTTCTTCTAGTGTCTGACTTCAAGTCGCTGCTCACCAGCCTTCCTCCTTCTTATAGTTCAGTGGCATGAACTCAGAAATTCATCTCCATCATTTTGTAATGTGGCATACCATCACAAATTATTTCTGTTGACATAATAACATCATTTAATCCAAAAAGAAAACTGCAATGTATTTATGATTTCTCTGTGTCTGTTTGATATGCAGGAGGTCCAGCCTGGTCATCACAACCAAACTCTACTGGGGTGGAAAGTAAGTTAAATACCTTTTATTGTATTTTGGTACTGGACAGTAAGTAACTAGTAATTCATGCTTTTTCCCCTTAAGCAACCATTTTGCATTTGGCATATATTAAAATTGATTAGCTTAGAGGATTTTTTTTCCTCTGTGGCACAGAAATTGTGGTTAACTTAAGACTAGATTTCAGCAAGGTAGACTCAAAGAAGTTTAGTACAAAGCAGGTGGCCACTTGTTACTAAGTGATTCGTGTAGATTTTTCAAATGCCAGTGTCATACTTAGAACCATTTCCAAAACAGAGTTCAAAATTTAGGAAAAGAAAATAAAGCAAAAAGAAAAGCTACTCGAATCTGCCCAAGCTCAAAGATTTCTATGGAATTGAAAGATAAAAATATCTTGTCTATCTCCACATGCAAGTCTCTGATCATTTCTTCAGAGAGTTCTGAAAGTTCTGATCAAAAGGACATCTCATTGGGGAATAACATGAAGCTCACCTATGTCACTCGCTGTCAGAACAAATGAAAGAGAAGTCCTCTCTGTGTTGTGGGATGCAGAACAAATCCACAGGATGAGCTGACTTCCTGCTAGCGTTTGAACTACTGCTTACATTATTCACAACGAGCTGGCTGCTTTAGCAAACACATACAAGAAAATAGCCTGTCCATACACCAGAGCCGCTGTTGGCCCTGCACCTCTCCTGGAAATCTCAAAGAGTGCCAGAATCTTTAAAAAAAAAGAAAAGAAAAGAAAAAACAGAAACATGCCAAACTGTATCTACCTCTCTATAACTGATGGGAAATAGTGGGGGAGGTACTGTGTACGATTGGTTTGCTTTGGTTTGGTCTGTTTTTATTGTTCTTGTTATTGGTCTTGTTTTTTTGTTGTTGTTGTTTTTTGTTTTGGGTTTTTTTTTTTTTTTTTTTTTTGAGACAGGGTCTCCCTGTAGTCCCAGCTGACCTGAACTCACTATGTAGACCAGGCTGGCCTTGAACTCACAAGGATCCACCTGCCTCTGCCTCCCGAGTGCTGGGATTAAAGTTTTTAAAATAGGAAGCAGAGGCTAGGTCTTCTTTAGGAATATCCTAATCGCAGTGTGTGTGTGTGTGTGTGTGTGTGTGTGTGTGCGTGTGTGTGTGTGTGTGTGTGTGTGCACATACATACTCATTTGTCATTGTTCCTAATGATACAATATTCCTGTTGTCCTTTGTAAGGAAATACTGTGCCTCTAAGAAATATGGGTGTCCATTTTCTGTGCTTTAACCCACAGTGCCTTTGCTTTATATGTTTGCAATGATACACAAAATCTTGCCTTTGGGGTAGACATAATCCAGAAATGAGGCCATCTTCAAAAGCCATTATGCTGTAGAGCTATATGCAATATTACCTAATATACTTGTAAAAGACACAAAACGCAAATACATTCACAGGTGAATGGTAAACTCATATGTTTTTAAAAGAGGCTGTCCAAAATATTGTTGCTGAAGGAATGTTTCATCAGTACTTTAAAATTCAGCCACTACATTCCTTTCTAACTGTCCAGAGTCTGAAAATTGTCTGAGAGGATGATAGGCTATCAGTGAAGATCTGTTTTCTTTAAGTTTGCTTCATCTTATTTTAAAGAAAAGTCATTGTTAAATTATTTTGAAAGTCAAAAATACTTTCAAATTTATTGCTTCTTTAGGAAAATTTAATATTAATACCATGGCCATCATAGAGTAAACCTACAAACAGGCCAAGATATTTTTGTCTTTGGATTAATTAAGAACAAGGCTACAAGGTTTGATTGTGTGTCATATTCTATGTGGAGAAGGCGTGTGTGGTTAATATGTTAACATAGCCTAGAATCAAGAGATAGATCATAATGCGATCAATTCATCTCATGGGGACTTCAAAGAACAGAGATTCACAAGAGGTTATGCCCAGTGGTTCAGAATTTTCTTAGAATATGATATAAACTTAGCAATGTAGACTAAGAAAGAATGATTATTCTTAACACATTTTGAAACAGAATTTTTAAAAATATCATGCCCCAGTCAAAGTCACTTGCCTCTTTTTTCTTTGCAGAGCTGAAACAGAAAGAGGATTGTCAAGAAAGCATATTATTGAAGGTAGGTGCTGATGCTTCAACTCGTTTGTTTCTTTGTTTGTGGGCTCCTGATGCAAGCAGGTATCAAGGACATAGGATCAAACACATTGGAAAGAAAGATCTTGTATATGAAAAGAGCAACAATCAACTAAGTTTCTTCCTGGGGTTCAGTTCAGAGAACACAGAGATACAGGAAGAAGTGGGACCCAAAAGAAAAAAAGTCAGTTATCTAGAATGTCTCTCAAGTACAGCTGCTGTAATACTCACCTAGAGCTTTACTGAGATATCACATACATAGCCATAAAAGTGTACCGACTTAAAATGCGTAATTCCTTGGTTCTGAGTATACTTACACTGTTGGTGATAATCATCACAATCTAATGTTAAAAATATTTTCATCACCCCACTAAGAAACTTTGAACCTATTAGAGAAACCGACTCACCTGTTCCACAGTCCCAAGAAACTACTACTGTCTCTAGTTACTTGACACTTCTGGATAGTTCTTACAATGAGATGGTGAGCACATGAGAGACTGGAGGACGTAGGCCTTTAATCTAGCACTCAGGAGGCAGAGGCAGGAAGAACTCTGTGAGTCTGAGGCTGGCCTGGTCTCCATAATGAGTTCCAGGCCAACCGGGCTAAGTAATAAGACTCAGCTGAGAGACAGAGACAGAGAGAGAGAGAGAGAGACAGAGAGAGAGAGAGAGAGAGAGAGAGGAGAAATCATGTTTTGTTTCCTTCTTTCACTTGACATAATGTCCATCCACATTACAGCATGCACTGGTATTTCATCTTTCTCTTTAGCAAAATAATATTTTACTGTATGGAATACTTACATTTTGCTTATCCATTTCTCAGTTAATGTACATGGATTATTCTCACTTTAGGGCTATTATGAATAATTCTATAAACGCATGCAATTTTTTTACATTGGTACATTAAGACTATTATACTTTTTAGAACATATATACATATATAAACATATGTGTATATATACATATATGCACAGATTTATGGAAGAAATTGCCCCTGGGAAAATTAATTAACAGTACCATTGTTTGCCCTGTGGTACTTAAAACTTTATATAGTTTACAAATAAACAATAAAACAGTCTGCCAAAACCAGTGTGTAGTAGGGGAGAACTAGTTTACATCATTGTAAGAACTGAGTTTTAAGTGATTTTTATTTCTTTCTTGCTTGTCTACACATTAAAAGTTTTCACCCTTTTGCACATTTTGCAGTGAAGAAAAGTTTAAAGGGGCTATCGTATATTTCCAATATCTTTATACTAGTTCATGAAGAATTTCATCAAATTGCTAGAATTTTTTGTCACATCTAGTATTGAGGTCCTGTAATCCCCACTACTCAGAAAACTGAGGCAGGAGGATGGAAAAAAAGTTCAGAGCCTGTCTGAACCACAGTATCAGCTAAGGTCAACTTTGTGAGAACCTATCTCAAAATACTGGAAGAGTTGAATGTAGCTCAAAGAGAGGGTGCTTGCCTAGAGTATGCAAGGGACTGGGTTCAATCCCTAGTAACATGCACACACGCACACACTACACACAGACACACATGCACACACACTTTTAACAATAAGAATTATGACACTCCATTGTTCCCAAAATCTTTATCTGAGTTTGGTATTTCTCATTTTTTATTTTTATTTGCATGGATGTGAGCTTGAAATCCAAGATCTTTAAGTTCTAACTATTATGTATGAGTTACTTAACCTCACTGAGCATCTGTTTCTTTTATCATAAAAGAGATTACAAATATTCCTAACCTATGTTGTTACTGTACAGGGACTGAAGTACAGTAATTCACACAGGACATGATGTCACTCATAGAACATACATTATTATTTTTGTTACTATTTTCACTGCTGTTATAAGTCCAACTGCTACCTGTACTTTGTGGATTGGACCCTCACGTACTAAGTAAACGGCATTCTGAGGTTGCCACAATGAATAATCATCTCATGCCCCTAGAGAAAGCTTCCAAACTCCTCTTCTGTACATAATCCCTATGCAGGCCCTAGTGTCCAATTGGATACTAAAGTCAAGCCCAGCCTGCCCCTCCCCACCAGCACCATTGCAGCTCCATTACCACCAATGATTTGTGTCTTCTACCATGGTGCTTGTTAATACAAAACAATCCCCGTGTCCTTGAAGCCCAGCTGACCACACTGAGCAGTGTGCTGCCTGTAAAGTGCTTCTTTTCACTCTAATTGGCTAGACAAAGAGAGAGATTCAGAATATGGTTTACACTGGAATCAGTTTAATAAAATCAAAGAGAAAAAAAGATGGAGGAAGTCTTTATTGGATTTCTATTGTTTTAATACGTACCGGTTTGTGTGCATGATTTCAGATTTCCTTTTTTTAAATATTTTATTTATTATTTTTATTTTATGTGTATGCGTGTATTGCCTGCATGTATGTGAGTACACCCGTGTCATGCAATGCCATGGAGGTCAGAAGAGGGCTTCAGATTTCCCTGGAACTGGAGTTAAGGACGGTTCATAGCCAACATGTGAGTTCTGGGAATTGAACCCAGGTCCTCTACAAGAGCAGTCTGTGCTCTTAACCAACGAACCACCTCTCCAGCCCCTCAGATTCCTTTTTTAAGTCGGTTTTCTTCAGGCCTCATATAACTTAATAGGAATACCTTAAATTTATTTTTATTTTAATTGGGTAAAGAGTTCTCCTAGGATGGAAAAACCAGTTCAGCTACAATCTAAGCTGACCCAGATTCAGATTCTAACATAAAATTTCGAAGTTTTGAGATTGAGACCACTTGTTACTGGGTTGTTCCTGGTGTTCTTTTGAAATTCATAGTCCCACCCAAGGACAAGGTGAATGAGTTCAAGAGTTATTCCAGAGGGCATGTCTATGCCAACTGAAACCTGAGAATTAAATGAATTCTGCAGGTGAGCAGTGCCATGAGAGTTCTAAACCAAATAAACAGTTTGAAGAGGCTTACACATAATTATACGTGCATTTCATTGTTACACATCCCATGAGAAGATGGCCTTATTCAACACTGGTGATTCGAAGGCACATTAAATTTGAGAAACACTGGTAGAGAATAAGACAAAGTCAAGTTCATGTAGAATTCAAGCCCCTACTGTGTTGGTGACCTTAGACACATGAGTCATTTTATAAGAGTATAAAATGAATTTTATTTGTGTATGTATGTTTTTTTACAATCATATAAAAGCCCTTATGAGCCCAAGTCCTTGACTTATACCCAGTAGGATTTCCTCCTTATTTTCACAAGGAGGGAAGAGAGTTTCGCTAAGGGAATTACTACATATCTTTTAAATTACAATGTCCTTTGGGCTCTACAATTCTATATATGCATTCTTCTATTCCACAACCACTGTTAAGCTCAATTTGTGCTGTTAGAAGTTGGCAGATCAAATTCCTTGAGTGTCTAACAAGAAGAAATAGTAGTTTAGTAATTTACGTTATAATAATAAGTAGATGTCCCTATGATTTTTACAGTCAAAGCTATGTCATGGTGCTGTTATATGATTCAAATCACAAGCTGTTGTTATAGGAGCAGGAGAGGAAAATAAACTGAAAATATCAGCTTGAAACTTTTTAGTGAATGACAACTGTTAAACCCCACTCTGGCCTTTAAAAGAAAAGATAGTTGTTGATTTCTCAGTTAGAGACTAAATTTCTGAATGAAGTGATTCATCGCAGTATTCCTTTCCAATATACCATATTCATGGAAATGTATACCACTTGGGATAGCCATGTTTCAAAATGGAATTGGCAACTACATATGATTTGAATAGAGCAGCACCTTTAATAAAAGAAGCCGGTGACCGAGAGGCCAGGACAAAGGAAGCTAGAAATTATATAAGGAAATCATGTTCATTATTTAAAGCAACAGTTTTTCCAAGTTAGGTAGGAAAGTAAGAAAATGATAGATAAAATTTAATGAAACAGCATATTTAAACATAGCTCTTACATAACCTGTAAACCCCTAGTTTCCTTATTGTTACATGATGAGCGCTGCAACATGGAGCACCTGGTCGTGCCAGGCTGTTCAAACTTTTCAATAAGCTATTGCTTTGGAAACCTGTGTTATAAGATTAATTTTCACCTTCTAAACAGTATGGTTCCTGTTAAATCAAAACCTAAATAAAAGTGCACTTACATATCTTTTCTTGTAGTCATTTGAAAGCTATTTTATTTACAGAATTTATTACCCTGTGGAATTTTGAAGAATTATCTGCTGACTCTAGTCCCTCCTCAAGAGCCGGGGGCATTTCTTCCTCTCCTCCTGGGTTCACTTCCCACAGACACTGACTTAGTCCTGAGGACAGGATGCTGTCAGGACTGCCTTCTGCAAGTACATTCTGTGTGCTGGGGCACTTACGTATTCCCCTTCATATTCACTGCCCACATGCCCCTGTGGAGCCAGGGTTAATGCATTTTTACATGTCTACTTAATATCTGACCCCAAACCAGAATTAAATAAGACATTTGCTATATGGAGGCTTCTTTTAGCAAAATCTTAAATAGCTCTTAAGAAGATATTTGTTGAGTATGTTTTTGTGTTGCTGTGATTTACTCATTTCTACAAAAGTAAAGCATCCTAATAGAAAAAGGTGGTATTTCCTGATCTGGTTTGAGGTCACAAAAAGATCAAAGAATAAGGATCATGTAAATCATTCATACTCCTGTAATTCCAGCAGTTATGAAGTTAAGTCAGGAGAGTCAGGAGTTCTAAGAAGCTTGTGCTACTTGGGGAAAGAGAGGTGGGGATGGAAAGAGAAAGAAGAGAGAGAAGAGGGAGAGAGAAGGGGGGGAGGAATGCTGGGAGGGAGGCAGGATGGGCTGGACCATGTAGCACAATTTCCTCTTTAAACAGATGAGGACACTGAGGCTCAAAGAAACTAAAAACCACCACTCACCGTTCATGCTAGCTCAGATTAGTGGTCTGCAGCTCTCAAACACTGCATCACCTCCTTTGAATGCCAGACGGAACCATCAGCTGCCAAGCACTCC